ATATATTATTGGGTGTCATCCTGGTAATAGTAGATTAATTTACTAAATTTGATCCCTGTAATTCCACTTAAAGCTCTTCAGGAGCTGGCTTGCGAGCCAGATAACTTATCCAGCTTGCGGGTTGGCTTGTGAGTTTATTAAGTTATTTGGCTTGTAAGCTGGCTCATGTGGAGCCTTAATTCCATTTTGATGATGTAAATCAGCTATTTTTTATATGGTTGGTTCGGTCTAAAGACTAATTTTAAAGTATACAAGTCACTTCTGTCCTTACCTTTTAAAAAAACAGTTTCAAGTTTTAATGTAATAAATGGATTTCTCGAAAAATTATTTGTTGTGGAGTTCTATTCTTTAATACATGTATTTTACTATTACTAATTAAAAAATTTATTAAAAGATAGGGTTTTTTTATGAATGCTGTAACAAAATTATTTAAAGTGAACTACTAAAAATGGATCATTGAAACTATTATTTTAAGACCTGATCATATAAACAAGATGAAATTATTGTTTATTTCTAAGAAAAAAATCGCTGGAATCATTGACATAATAAGTTAGTTACATTGTAAATTGCATGGATTTCCTCAATGAAGATTATTTTTAATTAATAAAAATGATATAGAAAATCAGGAAACAAGGAATTTTACATGCATATTCTACAGGACCAGGCTACAAGCTGTTTTATTTATTTATTTTTTTTGTATAGTTTTCGTGTAATTGATACATTTGGGTTCTCCGAAATTTTATTGATTTAATAAAACAAATAAACAAAGGATAAATTTATTATTTATCAAAAAAAGAAATAAAGTAACTTTAAAGTATATAAAAATGACCGAGATTGATGTATCAAAAAACTTTGCAACATTAAAATTATTAAACTTTATACATTTAATAATATTATTTTGAATAAATTCTTTAAAAACAATGCTGTTTAAATTGACTACTACTTGTGTGATCAATTCAATCATTAACACCAAAGGAACAAAATTTGTTTGTTTTGTAAAACAAATCAAATTTCACTTTATTCATTTTATTTTTACTCGAATTATTTGTTCGAATAAACCTTATTTAAATAGAACCCACAAGATTATGATATTATTTTAGTACAAAGAACTTTAGTAATCTATAATTCAATATTTGATTATTATATTAAATATAATCATTTTGATGATTTGTCAAAGATTTACAATCAATTTTCTCAATCAGTCAATCAAAATCTAATCAAGCCAAACTTAACTACATATTACATACTATTAGATGGTTACCTATCAAATGACAGATTAGATGATGCATTGAAAATTTATTCTGATTACAAGAAATCTGGTTTAAAGAACTTTGATAATTTAGAATTTGAAAAAACAGTTAAAAAACTAGAGTTGAAAAATCTATAGTAATAGTAGTCGTAGGCGGAGGAGGAAATTACGAATGGGTGGTAGTTTTAATACTTAAATTATGATGTATCGTTATTATTATTGTGTAAATTAATCAATTTTTAAAAATATTGACGGATATAATAAATAATCAATCATTCTTGTCTAATCGTGACATCATGTCTTACTCCCTAAAAAAGTAAAGATTAACGTCGCGTAAAAGATTACACAGGGCTAACTACATGTTAATTTTAAATAACTTTCTTTTTTTGATCTATATTTTCATTCATACTTGAATCAACCAAAATCTAATATATCAGAATAAAAAAAAATTAAAATGCGTTTAATTATTCGTGAAGATTGTGATGCAGTTTCTGAATATATGGGTTCGTTTAATAAAAATCAATAATTTTTATTTAAATTATAAAAATAGTAATTAACTTGGTTCCTTCCTCCCCCCAAAAAAATTATTTAGCAACATATATCAAGAATCGTATATTAGAATTTAATCCAACTCCTGAGAAACCTTTTGTTCTTGGTTTGCCAACTGGTTCTTCGCCAATTGGTGTTTATAAAAATTTAGTAAAGTATCATAAAAATGGTGAATTAAGTTTTCAAAATGTCGTTACTTTTAATATGGATGAATACGTTGGTTTGCCAAGGTAAAGTCTTAATAATAGTAGTAGTAATGATAATAATAATAATAATAATAAAAATAACAATAATAATAGTTAATAAATAATATATGTTTTGTTATTATTTATTAGAGATCATTCAGAAAGTTATCATTCTTTCATGTGGCATAATCTTTTCAAACATGTAGATATAAATCCGAAAAATGTTCATATACTCAATGGTAATGCCGAAGATCTTGAAAAAGAATGTACTGATTTTGAAGTCTCTATTAAAGCTGCTGGTGGCATAGAACTATTCTTGGGAGGTTAGTACCAGCAAAATTAATGTGTGATGATTGAATAATAATCAAATAAATTAGAACAGTTTTTTTTTACATTTACATCTAAAAATTGATGATGACGATGATGATAGGTATTGGACCTGATGGTCATATAGCTTTTAATGAGCCTGGATCTTCGTTGAACTCAAGGACTCGTGTAAAAACTTTAGCGTATGATACAATTTTAGCAAATTCAAGATTTTTTGAAAATGATATCAGCAAAGTACCTAGAATGGCATTAACTGTTGGGGTTGGGTATGTAATATTAAATTAATTGTATTTATTACTTATTAATTATTTTTAATATCTCATGTTAATTTTTAGGACTGTTATGGATGCACGTGAAGTCGCAGTTATTATTACCGGAGCTCATAAAGCTATTGCATTAGCCAAATGTATCGAAGAAGGTTGATATTATTTTATTTATAGTTGTTGTTGCATTAACACGTAATTGTTTAACAGAAATAAATAACAATAATATTCAAAATAATTCATAAAGGTATAAACCATATGTGGACTGTGTCAGCAATTCAAAATCATCCCAAGGCTTTAATTGTTTGTGATGAAGATGCAACACTTGAATTGCATGTAAAAACTGTAAAATATTTTAAGAGTATTGAACACGTTATTAAAAATCTTATTGGAGCTGAAAATGTTGGTTTACAAGGTAATATTAAATTTACATAGAGAAAGCCATTTGTATTTAGTAATTTGCCAT